CTTGCCAGCCAGGCTTCAGTCCCTACTCCTTCCCCTGAGGTCAGGCTGTGGCTCCTGCCCAGAGTGCACCTCACCTGACCTTGTGTCTCCTGAGGCTACCTGGTAGGTTGGTCCAACCCATGGGGCTCCCTCAGAGCTATGCTATGGCCTGAGATGATGTGGTTCTCTGAACCAAGGCTGACCACAGCTTCTCTCACTCCATCATCCTTAGGTCTTCTCAGCAGTCAGTCTTCCTGGGGAGTAGGAAGGGCCTTGAACTTGGAGTGCAGGAGTCCAGGATGAGAAGATTCAGGGACACGGGCTGGTGGGGGCAGGGGGAACCAGGTGTCCTAAGTGTTAATGTAAGAAATGTCTAAACCTGTAGGGAATTTTTATAGTAGTTTATTTGTGCCAAACTGATGACATATGCTAGGGAGCAAGATCTCAAATGCTCCAGAAAATAAGTTTTGCAACTTTTTTTTATGTATTTGAAATTAAGGCAGGGACATAAGGAAGATTTTATGGAGGTGGGAGGAAGTAAGGTGGGGATTAGATTACAGGATAGTTAAAAAAGATTATGTGCTTCTTGAGGATGGTTATGCCTTCGAGGGGTATTACTTCTGACATCTCAAAAGTCTATTAACCTAGATGCACAAGATCAATAGATAGGTCTTTTATTAAAAAGTTATGTGCCTGGGTCATCGCTACCCTCCATGACCTTCTCAATTAGGAATTTATGATCAGATCACCCTGGGAGGTTACTTTCCACAGAACCCTTTTTTTTTCATCCACACAAGGAATCTCAGGGAACTCTTCGGGCCCCTCAGCCCCTTAACAACTGTGGCTTAGAAGTCAGACCCATCACCCAGCTAGTTCTGAAGCCCAGGATAGGGGGCCGCCCCATGGAGTGGTCTATAGCCTTGTGGCATCCTGGATCAGCCTTGAGACCTCTTCTGCCCCACAAATGCCCAACCAACATCCAGGCAGGAACTGGCAGCCTCAGGTGACTTCAAGGGTCCTCAGCTACTTCCTCCCCAAAGAGCCTATTTTGGGATCCTAAAGAGTCACTCCTTCCTACTTTCTGCCCTGCTTTCCCTCCTCTGCTACAGGGCAATCAAAGGCGAACAGGCTGAGGCATTTCTAACACAGCAGCTGTTCCAGGAAACTCTTGCTCTAGGGCCAGCTCAGCCCCTACCACTTCAACCTGGCCATTCCCTGGCCTCAGGCCTTAGAGCACCACCATCCAGGATGTAAACTTATCAGTGGCTGTTGGCTAAGTATTATTAGGGCACGGGCTGGGTTCCTTTCCTCCAGAAGTCAGGGTGATGGGTCTACCAGTTAGGGACTGAAGAGATCTTATCATTGGATAACAGACTGCAAGCTATTTGGCAACACCAGCATCTGAGAACACCTTCACTTAGCAACAATCTCCTAGTACCAACACCCCAACAGCTCTGCCTGGTAATCCTGCCTTTGCATCATCCCACTGTGCTAGGAATACCACCGTAAGTCCCCAGACATAAAGCTAGCCCCTACTCATTTACATCAAATATTCTCCACTCTGACTTAAGTGGCCTTATTTGGTGAGGTTTTGCCCAGGGTACTACTATTAATAATGATAATAATAATACACCTTTTTAAAGTGCTTACTATGTGCCAAGCACTGTTCTAAGCACCCCACTTAATCCTCATGCAAACCTTAAGAGATAGGTTACAATTATTACCCCCATTTGACACACAGGGAAAGTGAGGCTCAAAGAGATTTGCTAACTTGCCCAAGAGTAAACTGTAATGGTAGTGATAGGCTGGCTGCAAAGCCAGGTAATCTGTCTCCTGGAATCTTTGCACTTAATTCTGCTGCTCTACCTCCCAAGAAGCTCAGGGGACCTGGTGATCTCCCCCAAAGGCCTTCAGGGGAGTGTGCTAGGGTATACGAAGCACACCAGGCTAGGCATGACACCCTAGGAGGGCACAGACAGGTGGAGAGCAACAAGGGAGCTCTGAAGTTCATTTGCCCTAGACTGTGAGGATGGGCTAGACCTTAAAGGGTTAAGGATGACTGAGAGGGTGGTCCTACCACAGAGTGAGGAGCTGTTTGCATGTTCCTCAGGGAGAAGCCTTGTCCTCATTGCTATCTTAGAAAAAAATTGTTATGAAGAATGGGCCCAGGTCTCTGCTCCAGGCTCATGAGGCTAATAGGGCTAGTAAGGTTGCCCTCTGCCCACTGTGGACTGGAGCCTCAGCGAAGCCCCTGGGCTCCAGACTTGGTGCTGTGGAGGTCAGTGGGTAGGAAGGAGAGTGGCAAGAGGGCCGATGGAGACACATGATCAAGACTGTATGCACCTGAAGAATAGCATCTCTAAGTGACAAGTTCATGACCAAACTCATTATCAGAAAAAGAGGCCTGATTCTAGGTTTATGAAACTAGTGCCTATTTCCCCTCACTTAGCCACAGGTTCATCATTTGTAAAATGGGGGTAACAAAAACTACCCTTCCCAGTGGTGTTGTGGGGGAGTAAATGAGATGCTATATATAAAACACTTAGCACAGTGCTTCTCCAGCCTACAGTGGGTGCTGAATGATTGGGAGCTGTTGGATTAGCGGTGCCCGGATTTGGTTAATGGTGAACGAATGTCTATAGTGGTATGGTACGGGGCTCTGTCCAATAGTATGCATAGTGGAGTCGAAGTCCCAAGGAGCAGCCTGGATCTAAACAGAGAGGGAGAGAAAACAGTTGGCAATAGAACCGGCATTCAAAACAATTTCAACAGGCTGGAATAAGCAAGATGACATTGTCCTTCTGTGAGCTCCAAAACATTATACAAAGCAGAGGCAGGGGGAGAGACCTGACTTGACCCCAGCTCCAGTGAAAAGGATCTGAATGATTTAGTTGACCACAACCTGATGGGAACTAATCATGGGAGAGAAAGGCTCCAAAGCCCAGAAGCCTTAGTCTGCATTAACAATGTGTCGAATCCAGACTGGGAGGAATAATAGGCCTATTGTGCTGGCTTGGTCAGGCCATATCTGGAATCTTGCATTGCTACACTGACAGACTGGAATCGGGCCAGGAGAGGGACCAGACCAGCCTCAGATCCCAGGCACTTGTGCTAAGCACTTCCTGTGCATTTTCTTCTTTCATACTCTCCCCCCGCAACCCCACCCCACAACCCCTATCAGGTTGTCACTATTAAAATCCCTATTTTATACATAGGGAAGTTAACTGAGTTGCACAGGATCAACCACACAGCTAGTAAATGGAGAAGCCTGGGGCTTTTCCGAATGGGCCCCTCTTGTGCTTGTACCTGAGGAAAACTGACCATGCATCATTGAACACATATTTATTAAGTTCCTACTGTAACTTTCTACTAAGTCATTTCCCAAGCTTGTCAGTGGGGATACAACCAACAGCAGTGAAAAAGATGTGGTTCTCAGAATTCATGGTCTGGTGAGGGATCTAAATCAATTGTGATATGGATGCTATAGGAGTGAAGATTTTAGGGCTGAAAGGGGTACTAGAGTCCACTTCGGCTGACTCAAGACCAGAGAGCGGACAAGGCAAAACAGTGTCACAGAGCTCAGGTGGAGTCGTGGGAGCCAATATTTGCCCTTTTCACGATATTCGACTGCCTCACTTTGGTTCTCATCCGCTCAGCAGTGGCCGAGATGTGTACCAGGATTGGATCTGCTAGGGAATAAGAGGAAGCTTGTTGTGGTCACTCTCCTTCCTACACACTGACCCCCATACCACCAGGCCTGGAGCCCAAGAGGCTTTGCTGAGGCTCCAATCTACAATGGGCAGAGGGTAACCTTACTAGCCCTATTAGCCTCATGGGTCTAAAGCAGCCAGACTGCTTATCCCTTCCTAGAGATTTTAAGAAAAGTAAAAAGGAGCATATAGCTGAGCAAGCACAGGAACAGGGGCGAGAGGCCTTTGGGAATCCTCCCAGCAGCCCCTTTACTAATTAGAGCTAACTGGTCTCCATCAGCCTCCTGTCTCCCTGAGATGATGTTGGTATAAGGGACTGAGAGGTAATAGAAAAGATTGTTTTTTGGCATCTATGTCGGGTCTCTATTCTAGGCTAATGTCCTCCCATCTTCTTTCAAGGATCAGATTACTCAACACTCTCTTTTTCAAACTTTTCTTTAATTGCAGAGTGCCATTTTAGCTTTGTTATCTCCCAGGGCTTCTTGTTGGGGAGACCCAATCAGTCTTCTGGTAATTTTTGCTGAGAGAGACAGAGCAGGGCTGTTAAGAGGGAAGGCTTTGGGATGGAACAAAATCTTCCAGGCCTGGCTCTGCCACATCTGTGAGCCTCCCATTTCTCAGCTGTAAAATGGGGATAATAATAGTACCACCTTCATTTGATGGTTGTGAGGGCTGTATGTTGCGCATGGAGGAAGCTCTCCATAGAAGTCTGCTGTTATCATCATGGTGTGCTAGCGCCTGTGGTCCTGTCTGCTTTCCACAACTTGGGAGCTTCCTGCTGGCAGGGGCAGCAATCTTTCTCCCCCATCGCTGAGGGCCTCAAAGATGCCAATGGCAGGAAGAGGAAATGGTCGGTCTTGGGGGATCAAAGAGGGAAATCGGTAAGGAAATGCCAGCGCTACATTCTCCAGGTTTGGAAGAGACGGAGACTCGGTCTGACTCTAGATTTTAAAGCGGGAAGTGGGCTTCTGAGCCCCTACTTTTCTTAGGGTTGGGGGTCAGAAGTCATGGGGTGTAAGCTGGACCCAGGGAATATTCACTCTGGGAGCCCACGGGAAGGTCACTTTCAGCCTCGGGCTTCAGTTTCCTCGTGTCAGGTGGGTCTCCCAGCCTTCTCCCAGGTTGCGTGGAGCTAAAGCGGCCGGATGCGGGTTCCGGGTTCTGAGAACGTGGCTCAAAAAGCAAAGCGCCTCAGGGCGCGTTGAACAGGCTGGAGGCACTGAGGGCGAGCTGATTGGCTGAGGCGAGGCAGCAGGGCTCCGGGATTGGCTGGATCCGAAAGGGCGAGGCCCAACCTTTAAGAGGAGAGTAAGAGGGCGTGCAAGAGAGTGTGCACCTCACCCGCCAGCCTGTGGGGTTTACTACAGTACGAGGTGACTGTGGCGGCAGTGGCGGTGCCGGCTACAACCGGAGCCCGAGCGGAGTGGAAGCCGGCAGAGCAGAGGAGCATCCCGGCGTCCCGGTTCCAGGAGGCGTGGCCCGCGGGTCATGGCCAAAGGAGAGGGCGCCGAGAGCGGCTCCGCGGCGGGGCTGCTGCCCACAGGCGTCCTTAAAGCTGGTGAACATCCGGCCCAGGTGATGATGGTGAGAGCCCGGCATCCCGCGTGGAAGGCAAGGGGCAGGGGGCAGGCTGATGGGGGTGTCGATGGATAAGCGTGGTTCTAGGACACCTTAGGCTACCCGAGGACAGGCGGGCCCAGGAGCAGGAGAGAGCCCAGAGGTGCCCTGGGGGCCAGGGGTGATGTAGAAAGTTTGTAGACGCCGGCGCCCCGCTTTGCCCGCCTTTCCCGCCCCGCCGGCATCTCTCCTGAGCGGAACCGCCTGGCTAATAACTCCACGTGGTGCCCAGCTCAGCCTGGATGGTTTTCGTTCTTCTGTGACGAGCGGCTTAGAAGCCAGAGAGACCCCAGAAATTTAGGAAACGGCCCTTGGTTCCCCATCTCTCATCCCTTACGTCCCAAACCCACATGCCTACCCTTGAACCTCAACTCTGAGTGACGGCTATTCAAGTTCATTCATAAGAACAAGGGCTCTGCTCTTAAAGAAGCCGCATTCCTCAGGCGTTTGTGTGAGTGTGAGAGTTGGGGCTCGTGCGTCTTCACCTTCGGCGCCATCCCCTGCTCTCTGGACATAATGAAGGACCAAATGAAATCAGGTGGCCCCAGGAAGGGATCTTAGGAAATAGATTTCTGCCTGGGAGGTGACTGCCTTTTCCTTTTAATCTAATTAACCGATCCTCGGAAGGAGCCCGGGTGAGCAATTAAGCTGCTACCAAGTATGAGTAATCTCTGCTTTTCCTGGGCAACCTCAATCTCCCTAGTGCCCCACCCAGAGAGAGCCCAACCCTGCACCTAGAGGCCTTTCCTCCCCTCTCCAAGATCCCCTAGGAGCTGAGAGAGAGTAGGACAGCTCCTGGGTTTGCCTAAAGCTCTGGCTGCCTACAGGGGCCAGGGACGCTCTAGGACAGACAGAAGGAACAGCTGTGCCTGCAGCCAGCTGGACCTGGCCCCTACAGCTCTCCAGCCCTCACTCAGTAGGCAGGTGGGTCCTGGCCTCTGAACCAGTGCAGGACCTGGGACTGGGCTTAGGCAGCTCTTGGCAGCAAGAGGATTTTCAAGTTGTGACGGTTGGTGCCAGGTGGGGACAGGTCTGTTGCTGGGACATGCTCCCCATCCAGCTTGGAAAGGAGCATGGCTGAGGCCTTGGGAGGAGTTTCTTAGGAATGGTGGGCTGATAAGAATCTGGGGGTGGGGTGGGGTAGCTTAGGGACAACTTTCGCAGTATGGATTCCTTTTTCCCAGGTTCCTAAGAACAGAGAATAATACCTTTCTTGTGAAGTTCTGTCTCTCTGGGTGGGAACAGGGCAAGGTAGACTTGTTCCTCCTGGCAGAGTTGGCTGGAGAGATGGTCCTGCCTCTGGAAACTTCTAGAGTGGAGGCCAGAATCTTGGGTCTCTTTTCATCTTTTTCTCTTCTTTCCAGAAGGAACCAAAGAAGAAACAACAGTTGTCCATTTGCAACAAGCTTTGCTATGCAGTTGGGGGGGCCCCATACCAGGTGACGGGCTGTGCCCTAGGGTTCTTCCTGCAGATCTACCTGTTGGATGTGGCTCAGGTGAGTGGACTGAGCCTGCTGGGGCTCCTGCAGCATCCTCAGTTAGCAAAGACTAGGTAGGTTTATTCATTTTCCTCATCTGTAAAATGGGACTGGAAATCCCTACTTTTCTGTCTCTCAGAGTCACAGTGGATGAGAAAAAAGATGACTTTGGAAAGTATCCAAAAGGAGAGTCTATTCACTCCAGGAATCTTAGCCGGCAAGGTCAGGCAACTCCTTCTTGCCTGGCAAGAGCAACAGAATCTGGAGGGGTAGGCAGTGGTGTGAGGGAAAATGGAGCCTGCTGGTGATGCTGTTCTTAGAAGAGACTGGCACACCATGTCCCCAGCTGGACAGCAATCAGCTGGCTCAGTTCCGGGGTTGGTGGATGTTGCCAGGCATGTGGATGAGATGCATCTCATTTTTACCTGAGAAGCAGAGGCATGTCAGGGGGGCCCTCAAGTGCTGGGCTGAGTTATGGTGCCCCAGCATACACAGTTTTGGACTAGGCGGGGTATTTAGAGTGAAGCAGGGCTCCTCTGTGCTTTGAGAAGCTTTGGCCGGCAGCCTGGCATCCTGAGAATTCACCTTGTCTGAATGAGAGAGTAGGAGGCTGAACAGCCACAGCCCTCAGGGCTCGCACACTGGCCATCTTTTCTACGTATCATCGACAGAGATGCTTTGCAAGCGGGGCACCTTAGTTATATCCATTTATAGGTGGGGAACACGGAGCCTTGGAAAGGACACATGGCATCATTTGGCAGCTAGTTTTTAAGCAACTTTCATGTTTTGGGCCCTGAGTGGGGTGCAAATAAAGGAACCTGCAGCTAAAGTGTAAAACTGTGCGGTAGTGAGCATTAGAGTTGGAAAAGTCAGGTTAGGGAGACTGCTACATGGGAGTGGCCACCAGTTTCCCAGTTTCCTGAGCAATAGCAATGGTAGGGTCTTAATGGATGAGAAAGAATCCAGGGAAGCTGTCTATTCAGGCCTAGAAGGTTTGGGGAGAGGGAATAGCTTGAGTGGGTAGTGACAGGCCGCTTTTTAAAAGCATCTATAGATTTCTTTTTCTACGTCCAAGATAGAGTTTGACCCTATAAAATAGGATCATAACTCCAGTACTGTTAAGAGAGGAATCATAAATCCCATTATACAGATGGGGAAACTGAGGTCCACTGTGGTCACTCAGCAAATGCTAATTCTGGTATCAGGTGGTTGGGGGCTCGGGGCTGTGAAAGGGAGGCAAAGAAATGACTCCATTTATTCCAATTGAGGGGAATGTTTTCAAGGACAGTGAAGGGGAGGATATAAGGGGACAGATCTGAGAAAGTTTCTATGGAGGCACACAATGCTTCTGCTATCAGAGAACTGTTATTGTCATTATTATATTAACAAGGCAAGTGAAGATACTTAAGGCCTGGAAGGAACACAGGCTGCCGGAGACCTTGCTGAGATGGGGAGGCAGTGCATGCTTTTGCCTCCCAGTGAGGGCTGAGGTGCCTTTTCCCCATTCCAGGTAGACCCATTCTCTGCCTCCATCATCCTATTCGTGGGCCGAGCTTGGGATGCCTTCACAGACCCCCTGGTGGGCTTCTGCATTAGCAAATCCTCCTGGACCCGGCTGGGCCGCCTCATGCCCTGGTGAGTAGAAGATGCTCTTCTAGATGGGAGAAGTCAGGGCTTATTGTTTGTCTACTACCTTTCAGTTTTTCCATTTGATTTGTCACATGCTGAGGGATGACTGACGCAAAAACCTGAGTGTTGAAATCCCAGCTGAGGCCTCAGCTGTCCCAGGAACAGCACTGGGATGCCCTGCCAGTTCGTTCCTAGACAGGCCAAATTGTTAGATTGAGCAGCTTTCCCTGGCCAAGGTGCATTCCCTTCAATGAAGCGGGAAATCTAACTTCTCTCACTCAGTCACTTCCCATAATAGCAGAGGCAGTACTGTGTAGTGGCCGAGAGGTTATACTCTAGAGCCCGCATGCTTCAGTTTGAATACCAGCTTCACCACTAACAGCTGTGCAACCTTGGACAGGTCACTTAACATCTCTGAGCATCAAGTTTCTTCATCTGTGAAAGGGGGATAATAATATGCCTATCTCATAGGGCTATGGTGAGGATTACATCTTTTTTAGACTTAAAGTAAACAGTGCCTGGCATATGTTAAGTAGTATATAATTTGGCAGGCCTTCAGAGTGGCTCCTAGTGGCTCCAAGAATGAGACAGCAGACCCATAACCTCTGGGTTATGACCCTCGGTACAAAGCCTACACAGTCTCAGGCTATCTCAAGGTTGGGGGAGGCGGTGCTACAGATCAGACAGCAAAGGGAGACACACAGGACAGGCTGACAGGCCGGAGCTTTAGTTCCCTCCAGGACATCCTGCTTGGTGGTGGTGGTGTGGACATACTCCTTTCATCTCCAGCCCATCCAGGCTCAAGTGGGCGCCTTCCTGCCCCAGGGGTGCCCATACCTGGTCTCCGGCCTTCAAAGCTCTTCCAACAGCCTCCACACCCCCACTCCTAGCTTCCTTTCCCACGAGGCCCCGCTCCCAACACAATCCTCCCAGCCCCTGGCTAAGGCCCAGGTTGGAGCCTTTGATCCAGGCTTCAGGGCCAGAAGACAGAACAGCCTGCCTTACCTGGGCAGGCTGCTTGGGACTCCCAGGGGGCTGGAGCCACCAGTGAAGCTGGGCCCTGTACCCGCCTCCCTGGCAGCTGGCGGGAGGCGGGGCTCTGCTGCCACATCTCCTCATGAGGCCCAGCCAATGGGAGAGAGCCCCTCTGGCCAGCCTGATGCTGCAACAGCGTGTTTCTCTCAGTAAGTCACATTTGGTTCCTCATCAGCTGCTCAGCTGCCTAGGAGAAGAGGATGGAGTGTTTGAGGAAGGCTGACGCCCTTGTTCTCTGAGTAGACACGTGGAAACTGTCCCTCCCTGGAGGGCTGGGAGGGAAATCAGGAGATACTTTACCTGTGGCCTCTCCCTGGGCAGGTGTGGCAGCAGGCTTGGTAAAGTTACTGAGGCCCTTCAGACTGGTTCTGATTTAGTACGTGTCCTCACCTGTCTGGGTGCTAACGCCTGGTGATACCTCTTGAGTGGTACCACCACTCTTTTGTTTGAGGGCACACTGGACCACTTGTGGGCTAATGGGCTGCCTTGTAGTATATGTGACTTCATCCCATTTATACCACAGTTAGCGCCGGGGCCCCTCCTCAGGCCTGGGACCCAGCACGCTTTCTGTCGGTGTAGGAAGAGGCTGGGCCTTTCTGGGTTCATGAGCCTTATGGCTTACTCTTCTCCCAGGCTTTAGACCAGATCTGCCCTCAGCCAGCATTTAAATCCCTCCTTCAGACCAGGATGACTTTGACACTTTCCCTGGAGTTCCCAAGGCCACCTGGTGAGAGGCAGTGTGTCAGCAGGGTCACACAGGGAGGCCGAGATACAGCAGGGCTGAATCTGAGGTCAGATTCCCAGTCTAGTGCTCTCAGAAACCCCCTAACTGTGGGCCTGTACTCTACCCCTGAGCTCTCCTGGTGTGATAACCATAGCAAACACTTAACTGTGTTCCAAGCACTGTTCTACATTATCAACGTATTTAAGTCTGGAAACTACTTCTACCCTAGGAAATAGAACCAGAGTCTTTACGCTGGACTATAAGGCTCTACCCAACCTGGTATCCCATTTCTTCTCCAACCTCATCTCCTAATTTCATCTCCCATGCTCGCTCCACTCCAGCCCCATGGCCTCCTTCCTATTCTTTATACCTGCTAGGTACATCTCCTGCCTGAGGATGTTTGCACTAACTGTTCCCCTTGGCCAGCACACTCTTGCCTCAGGTGTCTGAAAGGCCAACTCTCTCTCATTCAAGTCAGATGTCACAGATGTCACCTTCTCAATGAAGGCTACCCTGTCTACTTGGTTGTGAATTATACCCCCATACTCCTAATCCCCATTCAGCCTGCTTTAAATTTCTTTAACCCACAGCAATTAATCACCTTATAAATGTTCATATGATTTTTATTGTGGTAAAATACACATAACAAAATTTACCATTTTAACCATTTTTAAATGTACAATTCAATGGTATTAAGTACATTTACATTGTTGTGTGACTATTACCACCATCTATTTCTACATCTTTCCAAACTGAAACTTTATACTCATTAAACAATGACTTCCATTCCTCCTTCCCTCCAGCTCCTGGCAACCTCTATCCTACATTCTGTCTCTATGAATTTAACTACTCTAAATACCTCATGTAAGTAGAATCATACAGCATTTGTCTTTTTGTGTCTGGCTGATTTTACTTAGCATGATGTCTTCAAGGTTCATCTGTATTGTAGCATGTGTCAGAATTTCATTCCTTTTTAAGTCTGGATAATATACATAATATATATCCTCTGCTTCCTCAGGATTGTCTTCTCCACACCCCTGGCCATCATTGCCTACTTCCTCATCTGGTTCGTCCCTGACTTCCCACAGGGCCAGGCCCTGTGGTACCTGCTTTTCTATTGCCTCTTTGAGACACTGGTCACAGTGAGTGTGGACACCTGGGTGTCAGGGCAGGGGTGGGGGCAGTCCCTGGGGCCTTTAGGGTTGGTGCCCAAAGCCACATCTGTTTGTCCATCATCTGACTGGCCGAGGGCCTCTCTTCCATACCAGTGTTTCCACGTTCCCTACTCAGCTCTCACCATGTTCATCAGCACAGAGCAGAGTGAGCGGGATTCAGCCACTGCCTATCGTAAGTTTCTCCCCAGCCTGCTGATCCCACCCACCAGGAACCCTGGGTCCCCCACTCCCTGACCCTTCTGCCACATTTCTTCCCTTGCTGGGAGTGGGTGTGAAACCATCTTAAAAATAACTCCATCCCCTTATTGTTCTAGTGAGACCAGAGAAGTGCAGGAACTAGCCAGAGGTCATACAGAGCAAGGCCATGAGTTTAGGCCAAGGTGCCATCTGTCCCACTACCCTGTACCCACCCTACTTGGAGTTGCTCCCATCACCTGGGGCTAGAACTGGCCTTCTATCCATCTGACCTTCCTCCCTGGGGGCCCACAAGCCGTGGGTCCCCTCCAAAGGACCTTCTTTTCACTGCTCAGGGATGACTGTGGAGGTATTGGGCACAGTGCTGGGAACAGCAATCCAGGGGCAAATTGTAGGCCAAGCGGATACGCCTTGTCTCCAGGTCCCCAATGGTTCAGAAGTGGCCTCGGAAGGTGCCAATCGCACACACAGCTCCACTTCACTCAGAGAAACGGTGAGGCCTCTGGAAGGGCAAGGGTTTGGGGAGATGAGGAATGATGGCGTGGTTTGCAGTCTTCCTCAAAATAGTAATAATAGCTAGTGTTTGTTAGTTGTTGGGCATTTGATATACAAACTGTTAATGTTATGCCCGCTCTGAAGATAAGGAAAACTGAAGCGTAGAGAGGCTAAATAATTTGCCTAGGATGATAGAGCTAGTGAGTTGCAGAAACTAGATTTGGGGAGATCTGATCTGTGGCCTTCAGATTCCACAGCCCAGCTTCTTGACATTTTGTTCCATTGGACTTTGCCCAGCCTTGGGAAACAGTAGTAGGCCCAGGACGATTCTCCCATTTCACAGATGGAGACAGTGAGGCCCCAGAGTAGAAGGGACTGGTTCAAAGTCATTGAATGGAACTGCTGGGAGTTGAGATGAGATCAGATTGAATGTCTGTTGCCTATAATCCCCCTTTTATAGCAAAATGCATACCTGCTGGCAGCAGGGGTCATTGCCTCCATCTATGTCATCTGTGCTGTCATCCTGGTCCTGGGTGTGCGAGAGCAGAGAGGTAAGAAGCCCCTTGGGGGTGGGGGTGCAGTCCCAACACAGGATGGCTTTGTCCCTCTGCCTAGACCTCGGGCTTTGGGAGGGGGCTCTGCTCTTTCTTCACTGTCTCCTCTGGCCCCCAGAACCCTATGAGACTCAGCAGGCTGAGCCAATGTCCTTCTTTCGGGGCCTCCGGCTGGTCATGAGCCACGGCCCATATATCAAGCTTATCGCTGGCTTCCTCTTCACCTCCCTGGCATTCATGGTGAGTGGGGGGCCTGATGTGCTCAGCCTGGGGGTGCCGTGCACTGGGAGGGGGTGAGCTGAGGACTTGGGATGTGACAGGTGGAGCTGGGGGGTGGGTAATCTGAGGTCCCTGGAGCACAGAGAATGTCCTAGGGAGGCTCAGCCCCAACATCACATCTTTCTTTGTGTTTCCTTTCCCTTTCCCATCCCCTCCCCCAGCTGGTGGAAGGGAACTTTGCTTTATTTTGCACCTACACCTTGGGCTTCCGCAACGAATTCCAGAATCTGCTCCTGGCCATCATGGTGCGTGGGGAGCCCCAAGGGTGGGAGGGAAGCCTGGGCTGAAGTAGCATAGGATGCGGGATGGTTTTTTGGAAAGTCAAAGGATGTTTCCCAGACTGACTCAAGGTTATGAAGGCATGAGGGAGGTTTCTCAGAATATTTGGTTAGGTCTGACCTACAATTGCTTAGGTAGGACTGTGGAAAGAGTTTGGGTACATATATCAAGTCATTATGTTGTACCCTTAAACTAATATAATGTTACATGTCAATTATATTTCAGTAACACTGGGAGGAAAAAG